ATGGCCACACAGGGCTCAAGACTGACCAAAGTCAATTCCCACAAGCTGGTGTCAAACTCTGTGCTATTTTGCATGTCAAATGTCAGGGGATATCCCTGACCGCCCAGCACAAGACGGGCATTCACAGGCCTCCAAAAACATTACATTGTTTTACACTAATTTACTAAGTTAGAGAAATATGCAATATAGGTTAGATGCTCAACATCACTAGTTCTCATATTTAAAAAGAAGAAGAAAAGTCAATGGTTTGCACTAAAAAGGGTCAACTTCAGTTATCAAGAAAATTCACTCATGTGGCTAGCTCATATCCAGATAAGGCTGCAGAAAATAGGTTTTCTCCACAGCAACTATAGAGTCACAGGTGCTCAAAAATACCTGATTTGTCTTTTTTTTAAAAAAAAAAAATCCAACCCAAGTTACTCTAGTATGTTATGCCAGGAGTTTTAGTGATTTTTATTTATCCCAACTCACACAGGACACTCCAGGGTCTCCCTTCCTCCCACTCCAACATGACCTGGCTTATCATTCCAAATCAAACAAGGAAAGTGGGGTGCAGTGGCACATGCCTGTAGTCCCCACTCCCCAGGAGGCCCAGCACTTCAGCAATTTAGCAAGGCCCCATGCACCTGAGCAAAACTGTCTCAAAAGTAAAAGGAGTTTGAGGCCAACCTTGGTACCCATTTCAAACCCAAAACAGCTGGGTTGGGGATGCAGCTAGTGGTAGAGTGCTTACCTAGCGGGCCTGAGGCCCTGGGACCAACCCCTGGCATGGGGGAAGGGGAGTGTGTGTATGGGGGGGGGGGGGGGTCATGCACACCAAGAAAGCAAAAAGAAATGGAAACCAAATGAGTGACCACTAATGTAAAGCTAGGCTTGTCACATCTAACAAGTGCCGCAGCACGGGAACAACATTGTACCACACGCTTCAAAACCTGCCTTTTAAGAATTTGACCTGTTGTTAGAAAGACAGATAGACCTTGTCTGCAGGTGTGATGGACACTCCTGGAAAGAAGCATTCTGACAAAGCAGTATTTAGGCTAGTCATCAAACCACCTCAACTGATCAACAATGAGTAAACCTACTAACCACAGGATTATACCTTTGTGTCTCTGGAAACAACCTACTTACCAAAGTCATCTAAAAAGCACTTTTAAAAGGAGATGAACATCCAAAGAGATTAGGGAAACACAGGGCGGGGTGGGTGGGTAGTGAAGGTCAAATGCACTGAGGAGGTCACAGTGTCCTTGATTAAATAGGAAGGTGTGATCTCATTTTCTATGTATGAATAAGAAGATGAAATTGGGACCAAAGCACCCCAGGCAAAAAAGTCCAAGGCAGGCACAGAAAGCCCAACACCCGCTAGTCACTTGGATGTCCCCTGAAACTTGATGTTACCAAAGACCAAACAAGAAACAATAGGGCAACACCCAGCAAGAGGGACTGCAGCATGCTCAGGTAGTCAAAGATTCTGCTGCCTCTTAAAATCATACTTAAATATTTTCAAATGACTTAAGGAAAACTGCTTGTTTTTTGATACCACATACAAACACACATGCTTCCTCAATTTTGTTTTAAAAAAACAGATGGGCGGAAGAGACCCAAATTGTTAAAGGAGTTTTTTCTTCAGAGAGTAATTAGAGGTATTCCCCCACCCCTTTTTAGTATTTACCAACATTAAACAACAGGCATATATTCTTTTTATAATGAGAAAAACAAAACAATTATTTTGAAATTTACTTCATTATTATAGAGTGGGCTGGGTGGAAGAAGAAAACAGAAGGAAGAGGTCTCCCCAAGGTTATTGAAAAAGAGCTTGAGATTTACATTTCTGTTTTTAAGCACCTTGGAAAGTGGGCCAAAAAAGGATGCTTTGATTACTATTAATTACTGAAGACAAGTTCGGCCTGGCAGGGTCCCTTCCATGGCTCGGTGACCCTGGATGAAGAGCCCCTTCCCAGTAAGGGCTGGAGCTGCATACCACACTCACCCTCTTAATTCCCATACTTCCTGGTCTAAGGGGAAACTTTCATTTGTTTCTGGTGGGTTGTTTGTTTCTGGGTGTGTGTGTGGTTTCTCTACTCAGTAGATATTAAGAACGTGCTTTAATCTCTTTTTCTTGGACGTCTCTACCTACCTCCCCCTCTTTCTTCTCCCTCCCCCCTCCTCCTTCTTTCTCTCTTTCCCATTTATTATGACATTCATAATTTGAGACCCTCTTACACTTGGAAGACTAACACTAGATTTCCTAAATTTAAAAATGGTGGGCTGAGGAACCACTTTAACACTCTTGTTATGCATCTCCAGTAACTGTAACAATCCATATGAAAAACTCTTCATTCACAAACACCCTGGGTCTCAGAAGGATTATATTGGACCCTATCAAATTCTGTGACTCATTAGGAGTCATCTGAATACCTGATGTTACCAAGCGAGGCTGGAGAGTGGATTACGCCACACTCTGAAGGGTACTTTTCCCCTTAATTGAGAGCAATTGCAACTTTCTTTTCTTTTTCAAAGTCTTCACAGCAAAGGAGTCCTTAACATTTTAAGTGCTATTAAGTACCTTTCAAAAAAGTTCTAATTTATTCTACATAATCTGGTGGTCTTGGCATTAAAGGAAATCAAGGATTTTGTTTAAAGTTTAATTTTAAACAAACAATACTCCTTTTAACATTGTGAAATCAAACAGACTTTGTGGGTCTTTAAAAAGAAATGCATAGTTTAAAATATTTAAAATATGCTTAGTTTAAAATCCTTCCTCTTTCCTTAACAAACTGTATCGATCTAATGAAAAATATCAACTTCAAACAATTTTATCTTGAGGTTATCTATCACTTGTTCATTTTTTTCCCCTTGACCAAGGGCTATGACAACCTTATTAAAATAAGGTATGGTTTGATTTAATTATTTGAATAATGAACTTCTTGGTTATAATTTTCTGTTCTTAGGAGCCTTCTTTCTGATTGTCCTACATCTGTTGAGTCTTCAAAGTTCAAAATATGACAAGATTAAATTTAGACCTAGGCTGAGAATCTGAAAAACTAGAACTTATTTCTAAGTTTCTAGGAATCCTGGGCAAATTTAATTGTGTAAACCCAACTAGAGGAAGCAGACAGTGGATGGATAAGGGCCAGGTGGGTGTGGACTTGAACTTCAGCTCTGCCATTTACAGCCTATGTGATCTTGGGCAAAAGAAATGACTTGCCATGTTTAAGCTTCTCATTCTTCCTTCAGACATAACATGTGCTGAAATATTATAAGCACATACTAGGTGCTCAATGAATGTAAGTGAATAATGCTTTAGATTTGCAATCTACAAAAGTGGAGACCAAAGGATAATTCTAGATGTAGTTATCATAAACTGTTTTACATAACCAGAAGATGCTGCAAACATCATTTTACTTTTAGTTTCTGCAATAATAGATATATTCTTATTCTTTCTTATGGTACGTATGTTTAGTATTAAAATGCAGGTCTGGGCTGGGGTTGTAGCTCAGTGATCCTCAGCACTACATATAAACAAATGAATGAATGAATGAATGAATGAAAGAAATACAGGTCCATCAACAACATATTTTATATATATTTAAAGCAGGTCATTCCATATAACATTTTTCTTTGGTATAGAATTCAAGTCCACCCTCAACCTCTCTATCAAAACCACACACACAAAAAAAAAGACAATATGTATTGCGAGAATAAATATTCCATAATATGGATTTCCTTTCTGATTGAGCTATGATAGAGAATCTACATACATTATGATAATGTATATGCATCATACAAATAAATGATGTTGGTGGAGAACATCAGGAGGCACTGCATAGAATGCTACAAGGCCTCTTGGTAGCCCCCCCTCCACACACTCTAAGAGCTCTGAGACTATGGGTGTGTAATTCCTTTATGTGGCCACATATGTGGAGTTTATTCAACTTTCAGTGGAATCTTGCACATAGCAGAATTTCCGTTCTAAAAGTTCTATCCACATTTTTGAAGGAATCACAGACTGGTGTTATAATCGTTAAAAACAAACAAACAAACAAACAAAAAAAAAAAACACAAAACTCGTCCAAGTCCAAGAAACATCAAAATTATTTGCTGTCCTTTTGTTCCTTGACAAGTCACAGGCATGAAAGAGGCATGCTTTAGTTTTTAATTTTGCATTTCTTAATCACTCCAAAGCATGCAAAACAGTCGTTGCATTGATCTTCGCACTCCCCAGTCACCTCACAAACTCAGGGTTCGTATATTACTTATTAATCATCATTCACTACAGCAAAGCATAATACACCTGCCCACTGGGTGGCTGGAAACCTACATGTGTCCATCTCTCTAAAACTACAATTAAAAAAAAAAAAACTATACCAAATAAAAAAGCATTTTAGTCTAACTTCTTTGAAGCACAATAAAGAGGAGAAAAGAACCAATTAGCAAAAAGTAGCTGTATGTTAGGCTTCCGAAAATATGCAGGTCCCATCTCCAAATTCTCTTCCTGGGCCTTAGAATATAACTGCAACCCGCCAGAGGCCCTGTTTAAAAAAAAAAAAAAAACAACCAAAACCCAAAACCGGTCCCCCAGGCAAAGCGCAGGGTACAGTACCCTGCGGCTTGAGAAAGCCTGCAGCGCTAGATATGCAATGACGCCACTTGGAGAAAGCATAAGAAACAAGGACGAGAGGCAACAACAAACAAAAATGTGTTCCTCCTTTTTAGTGGTCCAACGCGTGGGGGCGTGTGTTAAAACCCCCAAAGTACAGAGAAGATAGTCAATGATCGACATAACAAGACTCGTTTGGGACACCCTTATCTAGGCTATAAAACAAAAATTTTTAAAAATCAGAAGTACCTGGAAAATCAACTTACACACGTTGTAAGACAAAATCTCCCTACCATCCTCGTCCCCACCAACCGTGGATAAGTAAAACCCCAGCACTTAAGCTACTAGAAAGTACATTTGAGTTATAGACCCGAGGTTTACATAATCGCAAATTACATAATACTCCTCCTGTGCACTAAAAAAACCCTTCTATAGGTGAAGTTCATACCCTCGGTCTTTGGTCTTTTACCATTTTCCAGAGAGAGCTGGAAAAGTCCCCTGAATAACTGGGAAGAATCGAGGGAATAGGGTGCTGGAAAAGTCATCCTTGTCAAGCTGCAAACCCAACAAATGTTCCAGGATAAAGGGTCTCGGAGCAGGTGATTCCCCTCTGGTCCATCCCCTGGCGCCTGGCATCTAAGGCCCAGGCAGAGCGAGCAGGCGCAGGGTGCCGGGCACAGGGTGCGGGGCGCGGGGCGGCGCTGCCAGGGCGGGCAAGGGGCGCGTCCGGGGCTTACCTGCTCCCCGAAGTCGATGGCTATGTTGGTGATGCCCAGGGGCACCAGGAACCGGATCAGGGGCCAGTAGTGCGTGAGCGCCGGGAATTTCACCATAGTCCCCACCGTGGGCTGACCCCACACACATCTGCCGCCGCGAGGGGACTCTGCAGGGAGGTGAGGGGCGAGCGGGGGCGCGGGCGGACGGAGGCCGCGTTCGGCGGGGCCTCGGGGCGGCGGCGGCGGCGGCTCCTCCTCGCGGCTGCGGCGCCCTCTCCAAGCGCGGCTGCTCTAGCAGGAGATCCGCAAGCTCAAGTCCATCCCTGCTGCCCTCCCACACAACAAAGATCTGCCGGGAAAAAAAAGAGGAGGGACGGCGGCGGCGGCGGCAGCAGAAGGTTCTGCTGACAGCGGCTCCATTATAAGCGCTCTGGGGCCCGGAAATAAATAAATAACCGCGCGCACGAGGCGCCGCCGCTGCCGCCGCCGCCGCCGCGCGGAGGAAATCATGGGCGGGCGCGGAGGCGCGGACACCGCCGGCGACCCGGGCGGGGCTGGGGGGCACTGGGGAGGGGGCCGGGCCGGGCGCGCCGGGGCCTCCTCCCCCGCCGCCTCCTGCGCTCGGCTCGGCCGCCGGGGGCGCTGCGCACGCACAGGCCTCCGCAGCCGCGTCCCGGGCGCGCGGGGTGGGACTCGCCGCGGTGCCTCTGCCGACCCAGGGGCGGCGTCGCAGCCGGCCGGGGAGCGGGGCTGGGGCGCGGCGCGGAGGCCCGAGAGACGCGGCACGCGCCAAGGGTGGCGGGGAAGGGCAGGGGCTCTGGGCCATCTCAAGGCCCCGGGCCGCCTTGGCTGGGCAGCCGGGCCCTCGTGTCCCCGCGTCATCCCGGGAGGGCCAAAACGTCGGCAAGACCTGGGAGCCCGGGCAGGCAACCAGAGCGCTAACGCGCGAGTTGGGATCTGGGCGCAGGGTCCGTGGGCCGCGGGACTGGGGAGGCCCCTGGCCCCGCTGGCCACGCAAGCCCCATCCCAGGGCAGCTGGCCTGGATGTGGGCGGGTAGGTGCGGGGAGCTGCTCCCGGCCGGCAGTGGAAGCTGCTTCGCGGAGCTGAGGGACCGGGAGAAATGGAGGTGCCGCGGGCCAGAGAGACCAAGGTCACCGAGAAGTGAATCCCTCTTTCAGGATTTCCAGGGGCGACCGTGATCCGCTTCCCCTTGGGGAAATACAGAGGGCAACAAGGACCCGTAGGCTCCCAAGGGCCGGGTGCCTACGGAGGAGCTCTGACTTGTCTTAGCAGTTTGCTAACATTGTGCAACTATTGTTTAAAAGAGCGAGCGAGCCACCTAGTAAAGGCTTTCTTTAAAGGGAAAGAAAATTCTGTTTTATAATTCTGTGTCCACAGTGATTTTCAGATAATTAGCTGCCGTGCTGAGAGGCTTACTTAAAACTCAACAGTATGCCAAAGGCAGCATCCATCCCACGCCCAGCAAACTACCACGGGAAGGCGCAACCTGGGGAATGAAAAGGGCCTCTTTGCTGCACTGGCTTCATGGGCATGTGACCTGTGCAGACAGACACCCAGGGCCTGGCACTTAGCGGGACTTGTCATTGGTGCAGCACTCTGCTCTTGTGCTCTTGAAGCTCTTTAATTTGAGCACAAGAGGCCTTGCGTTTTCATTTTGTCCTGGGCTGGGCAAGTTTTGTCGGCTGTCTTGCACTATTTTGTACCCTCTGACACATCATTTTTTAAGTTTATAAGCATAATGAATTAAAGTAGCTTATTATTGAAAATAATAAAATATTTTATACTCGGGAATGAACCTATTACCTCACATTTAGCTTTCTAAAGTTTATGTGAGTAGTGAGCTTGAGACCCCAGTGTTTGGATGCAGATATTTCACAACTGTATTAAAAATATGAAATATTGCCATATATTATGCCCTTTAAAAATACTCTTTAAATGCCACATAATCTGAACAAGAAAATCATGTAACCCCAAATTATATCACCTATAATTAAAATGAAGCTCTAGTAATTATTTATTGTGTTAAATGTGTCAAACAGCAACATTTAAAGGATTTTCCAGCAAAACAGAAAGTTCTTGTATAGGGTACTCTTAATGGGAGCAAGTTCCTGAAAGGTGTGTATTTAACTATGACTTTAAGTATACAAAGGGTTATTTAAAGGAATTCTCTGGGAAAGAATTCTTTTTGCAAAGCAAATAGAGCCTCCTGATTGAACCATTCTTTTACTCTAGGTTTTCATAGGCTCATTTCACCTAAACTGGTCTAATTACATGACCTTTGTCTGGAGTGTAGGATTGATGAGGTCCTAGATCGATCCTCATCAAGGCCAGTTTGCTTTCACTGGTCTCTGGACAGGGTCTGTCACTTCCCTACTGCTGCCAGTATAAAAGCACACTTTTTATCTTACTGCAGAACTGTGAGAAATTTCTAGTGAATCAAAGGCTGTTATCCAGAGCTACAGATGTAGCCCAGTAGTAGAGTGCTTGCCTATCTTGCAGAAGGCCCGGGGTTCCATTGCCAGTATCAGAACAATAAAAATGTCATCCTTGTTTGAGTATTTTAAAAGTATACTTTTAAATGAGTGATTGTGTCATCTTTAACTAAATCAAAGAGTACTTTGGAGATTTGTGAAAGTAAATGGGGCATCAAAGTCAAAATCAGATAACAGAATTTAAAGGGAATTTTGTCCCCCTTCCCTTTAAACTGTGTAGTTGTTTGTAAAGATAACTCTAAAATACAAATAATAGCAATGAGTGAAAAGTTTTCCAAATTACCCCAAAGCCAAGAAGAGATCCCAAAGTTATTTAAATTAGATTCAGAGGATGTTATCTTTTGGAAGATATAGCTTTGTCTTCTGTTTTTAAAACTCATATTTGATTGCTTTTAGCTAAATATTATTACAAAATTTATAGACTCTACATTCAACAATGTACATATGTACATAAAGGAAAAAATACTGGGAAAAAACTGAAAATATGCTCAACACCTTGAAGTAGTTATGATAGCTATGTGGAATGAATATGAGTAATTATTACTTTCTTTTTGTATTTTCCTGTGCTTAACATAATGACAATGAGTAAGTTAATAAAAAGAAGGCCTTTAAAAAATATATTTTTAGCCAGGGTTGGTGGTATATGCCTATAATCCCAGTGGTTGAGAAGGCTGAGGCAGGAGGATCATAAGTTCAAGCCTCAGCAATTTGGTGAGGCCCTAAGCAACTTAAAGAGATCTGTCTCAAAATAAAAGGGCTGGAGATGTGAAAAACTAGAGAGAGAGCGAGAGAGAGAGAGAGAGAGAGAGAGAAATTCTAAAACACTGAAAAAGCAAATTAGCATTGATTTTGGAGCATGGAAAAGTTACTTTTTGCCAAACAGCTTCATAAATGATCAGCAATATTTTATCATTTTTGTGCCTAAAATTATTGTTAAGTCAAAATTTTTAAGAAGATCATGCAAAAAGAATAAACATTACAAAGGTTTGATTTCCCCACCCCTACTCTGCACCCAATCCTGCACTTGCTCTTAAATGAATAAGTTCCAGTTACCCCCAAGGAACATCTATTATGAAGGACAGAATCCAGTATTATGCATCTGACTCTCCAGTTCTAGAACTCTGTAACTCAGATCTTGACGCTGTAACGGGGGCTCACCCAATGCTTTGACTATATCCCTGTGGCTTTGAAACTTACATGTTTTTTTTTTCTTTTTTCCCAGTCTTCTTCTCCCTGATCTTCTTTTCTCTAACCATTTCCCTTATCTCCTCTGATCTTTTCCCTAAACTTGTCCTCCCTGATTTTCTTTTCCCTGATCCTTTCCTTCCTGATCTCTCCTCCATGATCTCATTTTCTCTGAATCACTACTATAAAAGCCCCCTATTCCCCCTGATGGGAAGAATCACACTTTGGGACAGGAGTCCTCTGTGTTTCTCCTTTGCTGGCAAAGCAATAAGCCGTCTTTTTCCTTTTCCTCAAAACTATGTCCTCGTTATTGGATTGGCATCCTTGTGGACAAGGACCGAGCTTTCAGCAACAATAGGATGCTGAAATGACATCACATTAGGATTGAAGCGATGGGTGTGGTTTGGAAGCAGATGCCAATGCAGATCCGTATAAGCTTGATCTGATGGAATTATCTACATGGGGCACACATGATTACCTTATATTATGTATTTAGTATAACCCAAGTATTTAACAGTTTTGATAGAAGACTTAATCCTGGAGATTGGTGTCTGATTTTCAAATGAGCCATGAGCTCCCCACATAGAGGGGACCAGGTATAAATCCAGGCCTTACAGCTCTACATTTGGGCCTAGTGCACTGTGGATCCATGGCAAGGGGAAGTCTTCATTTCTTTTCTTTCTTTTTTTTTTTTTTTCAGTTGTAGATGGACACAACACCTTTATTTTCTTTGTTTATTTATATGTGGTGCTGAGGATTGTACACAGGGGCTCATGTGTGTGAGGCAAGTTTCTACCACTGAGCCACAACCCCAGTCCCAGGGAAATCTTCATTTCTAACCTATTTGTGTTCATAAAACATCATCCTATAGATGAAGTCATGATTTCTGCCCAGATTTTAGCTTCCAGAGAGAGAAAGAGAGCCAAAAGAGAAGTTGTTTCCCTTTTTCCAGTTGTAAATTTGACTTTTGCTATCTCTGTGTCATTTTAGCCCAGATCCTAGTTGTAATTTGCCTGGGTGAATGATCAAAGTCAGTTTCTGTACTCCCAGCACATGCCAACAGTTGGAGGCAGGAGGTGACTGGCATGGATAAATTATCCCCAAACTGAAATTTTTCTGTAGATAAGCTGGAAATAACTAAATTCTGCCAAGAGTTACAGTTCTTACTTTTATAGATCTCTCTC